TTTTCATCGAATATCAATATTCAACTTAAGGACACATTTCCGAAAAAAGATTTTTCAGTGAACAATACTATAAATAAATACAATAGAGTTGATTAAAATATATATGTACATATATACAATGTAACAAATGTCTGAAAGTATGTTAAAACTTTTCTTGATTTAAAAACTCGTCAAATATCTTCATTTTTAAAATTTTCTTAAAGGTTGCAGGACTCTTACACAGTTTGATATGATTTCAAGGCAAATACCAGAGCGTATAAATGTATTTTCGACTTCCATTGAAAGATACAAAAGGAATCGTAGCCATCAAATGTCTTCCGCGTTATATTTCGAGTGAATTTTCGACTGATTTAGTAAAGTTAAATGATTTCGATGATATTGGGTGATGTTGGATGACGTTGGAGTGTTGGATGATATTGGACGATATCGCAAGATGTTGAATGATATTGCACGATGTTGGATAATATTGCATAATGTTGGATGATATTGCATGATGTTGGATGATATAGAATGATGTTAGATGATATTAGATGATACTTGATGATACTGCATTATGTCAGATGGTATTGGATGATAATGATGGTGGTAAATAATTAAAGAAATAAAAAAATAACCAAGGGACCTGTCAGAGTCTAATCTTCACAACCTTATCCAACAGCACAAGCATTAAAATGTGAAGTATGTACCAACCTACCAGCGGAAGCGGGACTCTCGGCAAAACCCTGCACTGCTCCAGATGTCGTGGAGTGTCCCTTTCGTATGGGTAGATGTGTGACCATAACCGGTGAAATAGCGATTCCTGGTGCTGGTTCTCTGGAGTTCACAGTGAAAAACTGTTCAGACAATGCACTCATATGTGAACCGGACGTCATAGCCAACAGTGAGTAAAACATTTATGTTTACAGTGAATGAGTTGCCAGTAGTCAGGTCCTTGTGTTATAAGTAAGGGTTTCTGGGACCGCAAGGGGGGCAAACATAGCTAGTTTCTAGAAGGAAATGTACGGCGTTAAGTCCATGGTTGCGACGTCCGATAGATATTCAAAACTCGAAGAGACAAGTCTATCTGTACATATTTCATCGGTATTCTAATATAATCTTACACTTTCTTAGTATCAACATTGTCTAAATCCATTTCTGACGTCGAAACAGTTTGGTAATCCTTGAAACCTTTGGGTAAACACATAGATCCGACTACCGACAATTCATTTAGTAAGTGTATAAAACCGTTGTTCAATTCTCGTCAAAGTATGGTTTTTTTTTACGTCTTGCCACAGTATTTGCACCCTTACACCCTTGCCGCAGTATGCATATTCTCAGGGCTCCTCTCTCTCCATTTCCTTTGGTACTGACAAGGAGAATATACTAAACAATCAAAAGCTTCTGAGGCAGGCGATCATTTCCTTTATTCTCATGATCCTAATGGTTGATTCAATAATCACACCGTGAGGAGAAATAAGACGCTGGTCACTCCGACATGGTCAAAAGGTTACGTAGGGTCGCTGAGCTTTTTCTTGACGTTCCACAATACTTTTAAATCATATTTTGTTTCTCTCTATTATCTTGTTTTAACAGTGTGCAAAAATCTCAGCTCGAACGGGTATATTTTGTCTTGTACAACGGATTGTTGTGAGGCAGACAATTGCAACGGAGTCTCTGGAGCTGAAGCAGCTAGTCTGTCAGTCTGGCTGGCAAGCTTCACCGCCATTTTGATGGCCCTGCATAAAAGGTTTCTCAATTGATTTGTGAACTCAAACTAGTTAAATTTTCGTTTTGTTTTCGAGTTTGGCAATGAATTGTTGAGAATACGAGATAAAATCAATCTTTGAAAAATAAACTTTTGTTACAGTTTTACCTCACTAAGAGCCCTGGCGCACTAGCCAAATTTTTGTTTTTTGAGAAAAAAATTTGTCATCGGTTCAGTGAAACAAGTGCACCCAGTGATTTTTTATCCTACCAAAGTTAGATATTTTTGTCAGGCGTGAAATCTGACAGAGTTTTCAATTTACAAGCCACCATTTGAAGGAATAAGTCTATCAATGGGTCCTTCCTTCTTAAAGAAAATTAGAACTTATCAAGGAAATTCTTGACAAGTTTCAAGTTCCTGAGCCTCGGCTTGATCCTGTCACCACTAGAGCAAATCGGAAAAGCTTTTCCCTGTTTTCCGTAGAGGAAGTTTGTAAGAATGTTCGAGAATCATCTGTTAGATCCTGTTTCCTACATGCTTTACATCAAATTTTTCTTCTGTAAAATACCCACCAGCCCTCAATCCTTTGTTTCACCGGAGATGACCCATACTTGTGCACTTCTGCATCTTGTTGGAATGTACATTTCATAGCTGTCATTACACCATTTTCTGCTCCACAGTCAGTCCTCAATTTCACTGGACAGCCTTCTAACCCTGCAACACAGTTCAAATAGAAATTGGCGATAATTTTTGGATAGTTGTTCGACTTTGTGACTGTTACCCACAGTACCGCTCACGTGTACGTTAACCGAAAAACGCGAATTAAACGCGCCAAAAATCGCATGCAATTGCGAATAAAAAAAATCGTGCGCGCACGATTTTGAGACCTCAACCTCATTAGTATGTATGAGGTAGTCCTTTTGTTTTTCTATTTTTGGCGGTTTATTGTTTTAAAGAATTGGCTTCAATTTATTCAATAGCACTAATACACTACACGGCTACCAACGACAAGCAAACTTGTTCGTTGCAATCGCCGTTCGAATTGACCTTCCAAAAATGCTATAACCATGCGACTTTGTAATCGGAATATATAAATGATTTATCATTTTCCAACGGAGTTCATGAATCAAAATAATTATTTCTCACTTCGTATATAGAAACATCCGTCGTAACGGCTTGGGAATTTGTTCAAAATAAATCTATTCTCAGTGTATTGTAATTCAGTAGAATCAGCTAAGGCGCCCGTTTGTAACAAGTTGTCGCGTTCTGAATGCAAACCCACACACGAATGTTTATTTCATAACTTTTATCATCGGTGAACATGCTGTTCTCAAAAACTGGTTAATTCATCTCGCCATTTATACAAAACCAAACAAGTGCTACTCGCTTATTTTAATGGTGTTGTGTTACAGTATGATTACCTGTCACGACTACGTCTTGCTCTAATTCGTATGCAAATTTGTTATGAGGAACCGGATTCGCTTTTTGTTGCGATATTTGTCGCATCATTGATCAATGCTCAACAAATTTCTCGAAAAAATGGAATGGAAAAATCAACTACAGGATACATATAGTTCAAGGTTGTTTGAGACTCGCCGGCGCATGCAATGAAACTGTTTACATTCCGGTGCGTAAACACTGAAGCGGGCGCCGATTGCAATGAATAAAACAGAACACCATTCACATTCTTAAAAAGTATATTTTCTTTCTGATCCTCACCGAAGATGATCAAGGTTGATTTGAAGTTTCGAAGAAATCATCACTTGCGATGCAAACACCAAATTGTTTGCATTCCGTTACGTAAACATCTCAGGGAGCGCTGATTGCAGTGAATAAGTTGAGAAGCATATTAGTGAGTATTTGTTTCGTTACTAGCTCAATGAAACTCGTGTTTCGATGCCTTGAGTAACTGACATTTTCCTTCGCATCTGATTCATCAACAACTCAAATCAAGCAAATCTACTGCTACTGCTCGTTATCCAAAAATGAACACAACCAAAGCTGTTTGTATTACCTGTTTGTCATTGATCTTCATGACCGGCATCCATCCTCCACCAATGCAGTCTCCAAACTCTTCCCCATTCATGGAACAGTACACAGACAGATCTTCATTGCCTAATGTCAGGGTATAGGCCTCTCTTGGGCTGCCATTGAGAAAAGAGCATCAGTATGTCATGTCTGTTGACTCCTGTGCAGTAGTTATTTGGAATGTCACACAACACATGGTGTCCTCTGTGATAGGATATTTTCAACTTAGTATCCATTACATTGGTATTGCTTCACTTTGTTCTATGAGTGGTTCAGCAAACTCACACCAATCTCTCACCCTGTCAGATGCTATACTTAACTCAATGGTGACAACCCTTTAACCACTAAGAGCTGACCAGCATCTTATTTCTCCCTACACTATCAACCGTGAATCAAACAGAAAGATCACAAGGGTAAAGGAAATAATCACCAACTGAAGAAGCTCTTTATTGCCAAACAAATTATTCTTGTATATATAGAACAGTATGGACAATATACATTTTGATGTTGGAGTGTAGAAGGTTAATCACTCAAGTCTTCCTGCTCTTTGAAAAGTAGGCTTTTTGTGATTGTCTTTTGTGATTACTTTAAATATTGAACTTAAATGCATGTCACATTTAAGAGTCACTCTCATCTCCAAGTCACAAAAGGCTGAGCCATGAAAATCTCATAAGGATGTCCTTGTTTATAAAAAGTGCCACAACATCTTTACTGTATTAAGACTAAGAAAGCATTTTAACTAACTGCATTATGTCTAGGATGGCTTAATGTGATCTCCTCCAAAACAAAACAAAAACTGACTCAATAGAGGCACTATGAAACAAACAGGCCAGGCATAATTAGAGGGAAGACAAATTTAGTACAAAAAAAAAAATTTTCCCCCATTAGGGACCATAATAAGCATAATTTATCACCTAAAGTTTGCTTTGAAAATTGAAAGCAATGTGTGGGAAATTTGATTCTTTATTATAAAACAAATAGAGAAGCCTTAGCAGTGCTCTGTTCTACTGTAAAGCACTTAACCCTTTAACTCCCATGAGTGACCAAGACAGAATTTCTCCTTACAATATCTTAACAGCATCAAGTAGATATTTGATGAGAACAAAGAAAAATATGAATTAATGGATTATAAGTTGATACAATACCAAATTCTCAAAACTAACATAACAAGAACTGAATGGCAGATAGTAAGGAGAATTAATAGTGAGATCTTGGGAGTAAAAGGGCTAAGAGGCGGCTTGAGCACTCAAGCACTTCTTTCATACTCTAGCCGCTTCCTACATGCTTTACAACAACTGTTTCTTCCGTAAAATACCCACCAGCCCTCAATCCTTTGGTTCACCGGAGATGACCCATACTTGTGCACTTCTGCATCTTGTTGAAATGCACCTTGCAGAGCTGCCATGACACCACTTTCTGTGCCACAGTCAGTCCTCAGTTTCACTGGACAGCCTTCTAACCCTGCAACACAGTTTAAATAGAAATTGACAATAATTTCTGAATGGTTGTTCGACCTTGTGACTGTTCGCCTAATTATTTTTCGACTCCATCCATAATTACAACCACGTATTGGAGATCCTGGGCCACTAAGCTCATTCATGGTTTGTTCCTGGACAACGTCCATGTCAAAATATATGGCAATCTTCTCCTTAAAGTTCAAATACTTCAACCTACAACCTGTATTTTTCAATGTTCGTACACACGTCGTAATACCATGACACTTCGCTAAAAATTCAGTGATAACTTCATACGTAAAACCTCTTGAAAACGTATATGAAATTATGCTTTCTTCTTCTGGATGATCGCTTACTGAACTAGAAGAAGCCAATTTACCTCATCTCCACGACATGAACGGTAAAAAAATGGCGCCTTACTTAGCAGTTGTAGCCAGAACTAGTCCCAGATTCCGGTCGCTTTCAGCGACAGACTTAGTCACCAGTACTTTGAATTTTTGTCGTGTTTCTCTTAGATTTGATGTTTTGAAGCTTGCTTTTATGTATAAGAAAAAAATTCGTTGTGTTCTGGAAAAGATTGTTGTGTTTCAGAAAAGAAATTTAGTTGTGGTAAAAATAGATAAATGCAGATATTCCAAACTATTATGTTATCGATCAATTTTCATCTAACCGAAATTCCAAACCGTCAGACAACCTGAAAGCAATGAAAAGTTAATGTAAACGACAGAAACAATCTTCTAAACCTTACCCATTGTACAGCAGTCCTGTTTCTTTATTATCAAGTCCTCAAGATCTGACACCTTGCTCATTCTTTGTTCGCAAACTTTCTTTCTCTTACCAGAATCAGCACAAATGACGAGATAAACCGAAAAGATGATTGCACAAAATTTCATGGCTACCGTTTAACTGTCTTGAGTACCCCCTGGTTTCAGTGAGTCTCGACGATAACTGAAGAATATTGCATATAACTCCATCCTATCAACCCTTGAAACACCTTTGACATTCCGCACAATTTTCCTTACTTGACTGCATATTCCATCCTTATGCTTTGTTAAGAGAATTTCTACCTTCATCAAACCAATCTTAAAAAGCTATTTTTATCAGTTTGCTGCAACTAACCGACCAATAGAAATTATTCTAGAGAAATATGTTTTTCGTCTTATCACAAGCGTGGGACAAAGAAAAAGTCCTGAGTCCCAATGAGGAATCGAACGTCAGACCTTCGGATTCCGATTATTCTGTTTACAGTAATAGAATTATCCGCCTTTTGCTGTGGTCGAATAACCATCGATATCAACGACACGTCACTCAGTGTAATTTGTAAATTAAATCTATTTAATCATTGCAGCTAATTGAACTGAATGCATCAATGAAAGACTTTTCATATAAAGCGCACGTAGGCAGGGCCACTATGGTGATGACCACCTTCAAGCGAAAACTTAGACATCAGGTTTTTACATGCTTTTGACACTCGACCACAAGCCCCTTCCAGCCTCAAAGAAAACTGCCAGTTAGAGAAGGGGTCCAATGACATACCCCTCCTACCACTAGAGCTTTCCACAAAGGGCCATTTGCAACCCATCCTTGGATAGGTTAGTCGCTGGGCTGCATGTGGGGCACTAACCTTGACGTTAAGCCCTCTGCATTTTTATCAGCAAGTCTGGCTTGATTGCGGGTGATGCTCCTAACCCCACCCATCAGGGTTTTGCAGCCCTTCTAAGCCTACTGCTTTGGACTTTCAACCACCCTCCAGCCAAAGGGTGTTCACCCACAAACTGAGCTTTGTTAAGGCATGAACCTAATTGTCAATCTTGCAACATATCGGGCACTTTTTTGCAAATCCAATCAGATATATTTTTTGGACATAACAGAAAAATGAAAACGCTAAGCACCACCTGATTCTTGAAAAATAAAGCAAGATTCCCTCATTTTTTGCCAATCTAATGGCCCAATACCCTGGCAAAGGAAATCTTACCATACTATTTTATTTCTCTATCCAGCATCTTCCCGTTCAATTCTTGTGCAGGTTGCTGCAAAAAAATCACATACAAACAATGAAACTATCAAAAATATAGCATTCAACCAGTTCCCAAAAAAAACACTCCAAGTGGTCTCTTACAAGCCATTAAACCACTCGTACAAGTATAGACATGATAATAATTATATATTATACACAATTTTAAAAATAATGAAATGTAGAAGATAATTCTCATATAATAACTATGGCTTTTATTTATAAAGTGACCTGAAATAAATATTTGAGTTTCAGACTTTTAGACTGTCACGTTGCTTTAAAGTATTGTGATGGAATTTACTTCAATTTTTAGCCCTAGAGGATCGAAGATAGTAATACACTGCTTGGATTCAGACATAGTCCCGCAGTGTTTTAAAATATTTTAAACTTTATGTGGGAATACCACCAATCAGCAACTGTTTTCTCTCGATCAGCCGTCATCGTGGACATTAACTTATTGTGCTTTTAGTAAAAACTTTTTAGCAAAGCTGAGCGATTCAAAATAATACTTCAAAGGAAGCCTCATCATCCTTCTTTTTCACTTTGGTATTCCTTTAAAGAAGGATACTCATTGTAGTGGCTTTCAGAAGCAAAGTAATTGGGGAAGAGTTAAAGCAAGCCTCCCTACTCGCTTAGAAATGTCGCTTTTGTACATATTATACTATCTTGAATGGGAAGCTTTTCCGCACGAATCTTTGCCCAACTGAATTCGAAAATGTTATTGGAATCGGTCTTCTTACTTCATTTGAAGAAATGACATAATCACATTCTCTGTTACGAGTCAGTTCCCTGAGAAATATTTTCGACTTTAAGAGTTATACAAAATGTTTTCTGAATACGTCTAGTTTAAAAATATCAGTTATACTATTTTGCACTGATTCTGTTGGAAATTTATCCTACTTTTTGTTCCCTAAAGTTTTAACATTATTATTCTCAGTTATCCATTTTCAAAAGTACTTTTTTCCCTAACCCCTCCTTCATAGGATCAGTTTGCCTAACAAGACTGGTGGACTTGCATGATATGGAACATGATTTGGTTCTCGGTTTATTTGCCGAATGTCTATTTACCAACATTGCTAGGAAAGCTGCATTGAGAGCATAGATAGAAATATGTTTTTTAAAAAGTTTTCAGTAAAGTTAATGATCACACCATATTGCACCTGTCAAACAGTGTGAGTAGAACGCATTCAAAAACTGCTTCGATTTAAATGACCTTCGTAGCATTTTGCTAAACCGTTAAGTAGGGGATGATTCCTACATTTGCTTCATCGAGAGTTTCTCCATTGCCGAGTAACACATCATAATAGGAGCGTCAAATTTAGATCAAGAAGACCAATGCATGCATAGTCGATTTTCTCTACCACTCTGAGTGGTGAAGGACGGCAAGAAGGACATGGCATGTATGAAGGCGCTCTACTTCTCTCTCTCGTTATTTTCGTCTATCAAGATATCATTAATCGACATTAACGACACCTAGTTCAATCTCCAAAGAAGTACCTGTATAAGAAGATCTTAAAATGTTGTGAAGGAATGCAATAAATCAGAATTCTTCTCCAGGAATGCATATCACATCGCTGTTATTTACCATGAAAAGGTAGAGCCAAATTATTGAGCATAGTTCTTTATATGCCAGTTGTTTTCATGATAGGAAAATAGCTGTGATTCAACATGATGTCAAAGATACACATATCGAATTTACTTTCGTCATTTTAATGATTAAATTCCATTGCATCTTGTAATCAAAAATTACATCCATTCCACTTGATATCAAACTTACTTTATGTCGGTATACAAAGCAAAGGGTTAATTCTCTCTGATTCATGGTATTGTATTAGAAAAAAAAGCTTGAAAAAATTGTATCGGACTATGTTTAGCTAGATTACGTAGGACGTCAATCAGTTTGGCCAGATGACTTCTTAATCGAGTTCAACTAGATCTGGAGTTGGGAACACCCACTGCACCTGAATAATGCCGTCACATCTTAATGTAAAAATTTAATCTGCATGAGCAAGGTACATCTTTGTTTGTTTCTTAATTCAGCCTCAATTTGACTCAGCTAGTATCTAACGCATTTACATTGATTAAGCTACATCATTCTGACTGGCTTTTCCACTTCATGGCTATTGTGGATCGTTCTCCATTCAATTTTGAACTTTGTATTTAAGCTCCATAAGCTTCGTTCTCAACGAGAAATCGTTTGCTGTGGCCTCCATCTGGAAAAATTGTTATTACTACTCTGGGCACAAAACCAATCGGACAAAAACGATTACTGCATTTTGAGGTCGCGCATACGACCCTCACACAACAGGTTTCATGATGTTTGATTCCCCGTCGTCGACGTCGAACTGGATAGGTTCCCACGGCAAAATCAAGGGGGCAGTGATAAATCAACCTTTTTGATTTTCTTGATCGATCTTGAACTTTTCCTTTCAGAATGCCTGCTTGGAGCTTAGCCTTGAATGTATCAAAGACCAACGGTAAAACATTTTTAGAATAAAATAAGGAAATTTCATCATCATCTGTACGGTCGAAATGCTTGTCGTAAATGTGTTCCTCATTTATTTTCAGTCGATCGAAACTCTTCATGCACGAGTCACATTGGGAGGGATTCATGGCGAAAGTAAGAAAAGCCTGGTTGCTAAGCCTCTGAGCAGGATGAGGCCAAGGGTGACCAGGTGATGATACAAACCCTGCTGCTTTTCAAATATAAATTACTCGGTTATCATGCTAAGTAGGTACTGGTCTCTTTCACAACATGGTCGAATTCAGCCTCACTCCAAATCAAAGGCTTGGCAACTAAGTACACAACTTCGATTAACTCCCATTCCTCATGAATTTTTTCTTTGTCTCATGTTCGTGACAAGACGAAAAACATCTTTCTTAATTCTTTACTGAGCTCAAAACTTACCATCTCTATTATTTCTATTTACAGACAATACGCTATCGACATTCCTGATCCTAGCAGTATGCAGGACGCGTGTCGTAATAGACCTCGCTCACTGTAGAGTCTCTGTGGCTCAGTGGTAGAGCATCGGAGCGCGGAATCCGAAGATCTGAGGTTCGATTCCTCATGGGGACTGAGAATTGTTTCTTTGTCCCACGCTCGTGACAAGACGAAAAACATCTTTCTTAAGTAAACAACTGTAAAATAGCCTTTTAAACTTCTGGTTTGGCGTGGGGATCTGCTAATCGCACAATGCATTCTGATTTTGTGCCGTAGGCCAAATGTATCGCTAAAGTAAGTATTGACGATATTTATGGACGTATTTACTAAAACAAGCTTGCCTACGATCTCCTTTGAGCGAACTTTGAGGCATATCTGGTCGAGCGGTAGTGCCCTTTGAAACCGTTAGCGCGATG